ATCTGAATCCGATCAAAATGTTGAATATCCGAACCTGATATGATTCGATTTAATTTTAAAAAAAAAGTAATTAATTATTAAAAGAAAAAGAAAAATATAATAGTTAAAATAAAAAACAAAAAATATAAGTATTTTCTCAACTATTTCCATCATATAAAAAGTTGACAAAAATGCAATATAAATAACTTATTTATTAATAAATAATAAATAACATATATATTATATATAAATAATATATATACACTACATATATAAATAATTGATTTGACCACAATATTAAAAACCAATGTTCAAACAATATATTAGAATTGCATTTCCTCTTGGTAAATAACTAATTTTTATTATCTCATAAATTAAATAATAAAAAAAATATAGAATTTTTTTATAAATTTCATAAGAAATTTTGAACATACATTCATATTATATATTCTTCATATTAAACAAAAATATGTTTGAAAAAGTGAGAATTATTGTTAGTAAAGATAGAAATGGCTAAAATACAAAGAAAAAAAATGAATTAATGTCTTAGTCATAGTCCAATTTCCTGGTTAAATAGGTTAATGGTTCAACTAGTAAGGTTCTTTGGTTACTAATAATTATCATCATCATTTGATACTTCCACGTGCAAAAATAAATGCGAAAATAAGAATTACTTTTATTGATGCAAAAATAAGAAAAATGATGTTTCCACCCAAGTGTTGGGTTAGTGGTTCAACTATCCATGTCAAATGGATCAACTCATGATGTTATTATTAAATAATAAAATACATAAAATTTTAGAAAATGTAGAAATTTGTAGATAATTTTGGGTGCATTCTATAATATTATATATTCATCATATAAAAAAGTGTGATTAATGAGAATTATTTTCATTAATGATAGAAATGGGATAAAAATTATGATAAAAAATAAAGATCATTAATGTCTAACACATGACTCCACTAACCATTTCAAATGGTTCAATGATTTAATTAGATAGGTCATTATAGGCAAGTGGTTTGGTAGGGATGCAAACAGATTGGATCAGATTTGAATCAGGGTATATTGGAATTCGTTTCGATTCGAAGATCTGATCGAATCTCATAAGTATTGATTTAAATCAGAATCCGATCAAAATGTTGGATATTTGAATCTGATACAATCTGATTTAATTTAAAAAATAATAAATTATTAAAAGGAAAAGAAAATATAATAGTTGAAATAAAGAAAAATAAAAAATATAAGTATTTTTTTCAACTATTTTCATCATATGCGAAGTTTACAAAAATGCAATATAAATAACACATTTATAAATAAATAAATAACATATATATTATATAAATGATATATATATAAATAATTAATCTTACCATAATATTAAAAAGCAATATTCAAACAATATATTGAATTTGCGTTTCCTCTTGGTAAATAAGTAATTTTTATTATCTCATAAATTAAATAATAAAAAATAAAAATATAGATTTTTTATAAATTTTATAGAAAAAATTGAACATGCATTAATATTATATATTCTTCATATTAAACAAAAATATATTTGAAAAATAAGAATTATTGTTAGTAAAAATAGAAATGGCTAAAATACAAAGAAAAAAATGAATTAATGTCTTAATCAGAGCCTATTTTCCTGGTTAAATAGGTTAATGGTTCAACCGGTAAGGTCATTTGATTACTAACTATTATCATCATCATCATCATTTGATACTGCCACATTCAATGCACGTACACTTTTACTAATATATATATCTTTGTATTGTGTTAGATTTCCTCACCTGTCACTATTACAAATAATGACAAATTTGTCAGGTATAGGAATCAATAATTTGGCCTAAAACTAAACCACCCATTGTCAATTGAATACATCCAAGATTCAATGTTTCAACATCGAACACATATCGTATCAGTGGCTTGTTAATACGTAAAATACAAGTCTTTTGGGTTCAAACCCCATTTCAAGGGTTAGGCATGCCTCAAACCAAACCCTCTAAAAAGGTTGATACACCCCTCCGTCGTATCAGGGTGTATCAATACTTTGAACCTTGAATACATCTCATGGTACTGGGCTAGCAACTTTTCATAAAGATATTTAACCCCATATTTTCTAAGGGCCCATTTGATTTTCAGGAATATGGGTCTGGAATCGGAATTGGAATGACCACATTCTAATTCCAACTATTTAGTTGGGTGGAATTGGAATCTCATTCCCATTCTTTCTGGAATGACATCATTTGAGGAAATGGCCATTCCCTCCCCCTCTCTTGGGAATGAAATCCCATTCCTACTTATTTCAATTTTGATTCTAATTCTTGCCTAAACCAAATAGACTATGGGAATAGACCATTTTGATTTCAATTGCAAGCCAAATGGACCCTAAATAGTTTAGGGTTGTTTGGTTTGCAATCAGAATTAGAATCAAAATCCTTCAAAAGTGGAATTGAAATGCCTATTCTCATAGTTTGTTTGATTTATACAAGAATTTAAATGGAAATTGGAATAAAGTAGAATGTGATTTCATTCCCAAGGGAGGGGGAGGGAATGGCCATTCCCTCAAATGGGGGAATGCCATTGAATGGGATTCCAATTCTACCCAACCAAATAGTTAGAATTGGAACGACCCTTTCCTATTCGATTCTAGACCCCTATTCCCATAAACCAAATGGTGCCTTATTTTTTAAAGAGTTAGGGCTTGTTAATTTACTTTTAATCCCTCTTATCTCTTAATAACTTTAAGAGGCATTAACAACGTTTGGTTCTCATTTTTATCTTCAGCCCTATGTACAATAGCAATAAAGCTCAGTTTTGTTTTCCAAAAAATACCCCCAAAAGATTACTCCTTTTATGTATGCCATGATGGCATGATGACCCAATACAACAACAACAACAACAACAACAATAATAATAATAATAATAATAATAATAATAATAATAAAAATAAAATATTGATAATGAAATCATTTTAAAAAAGTATTATTTAAATATTTAATACTAATTTTTTAATTATATATCATTAATGAAGTAATGCTTACAAATTATTATTATTTTATTAATTATATATGTATTATTTATTTACATATTTTGTTTTCCAAAAGATACCCCCATTAGTTCCTTCTACTTTTACATTAAGACCATAAATTATTATTTAATTAACAATAATTAATAAAAATAATAATGAGGTATTATTTAAAATTAATATTATTTTATTAATTATCTATGTATTATTTTATTATTTATTAATACATCATTTAATTAATTAACTATTAAATAAATAATTATTTTTTATTAGTTAATTTATTAATTAAAAATAATTATTGTTAATTATTAATTAATCATGAATTACTATTTTAATAATATTAATTAATTATTATTATTATTATTATTTGATTAATTGGTAGTTAGTTTGTTAAAAGCCAAACAAGCCTTCTTGCAATTTTTTAGAACTTAGCATTCAAATTTCAAAATAACATTCTTTGCATTTAAGCTTCAGAGCCAAGGAAAGTTCACCAACTTCAATACACCTCTAAAAGTAACTAGTACAATTTCACTGGCATTTAGATTTTAGATTTTAGTACAAATGAATAGGCCTTCAATCACCAAGCCGAGAGAGAGAGAGAGAGAGGTAGGGAGGTGAGTTTGGAAGATCTCTATTGTTGATGGTACATTATTTGTATTCTTTGGTATGCAATATGGAACATTTTACACGTATGCTCTCCAATTTGAATTAGTGAGGAGCAACCTCTTATCTATATCTATGTATTAAAAGGAAATGTGTCAATTTGGCACTTTCTTTATTTATGGTTGTTTTAGAAAGTTTTTTATAGTTTTTTTTTTGAATTTTCCTAATTTTAAAATTGAACAAAATAACTCAAGTGGTCGATCAGCTTTAAGACTTTTATATTAAAACACAATAATAGTTTATAGAATTGTTATAAGAGGAGGTTTTTTTTCATAATTTTACCTAAAAACAATACAAAAGTAATTATAGACCAATGAAATTTAAAAATGAGTAAAAAATAGTGTTAATATACAAAAAATGATACAAATTTATCTAGAGCATAAGGAATTATCCACTCTCACTAAAATGTAATTTGAAATATGATCGACTAAACTAGACATAACCCAAAAAAATAATGCTTGAATTGGACTTAGATGATCAACACCATATAATTGTAAATGTTGTAGAGCTCCTTCCATTTTTTAATAAAACCCATGCATCACACACGCCACGACTAATTACTTTTTAAGTTGACAGAATTTAAGAAGACCATCATGACTGAGACAAGATCTCTCATCTGATAGGTATTGGGATTTGCACTTCATAACAATCTCAAAGCACTTGCAGGCGCACATTGAGAACTTCTCAAAGTGGTTTTGGTCATGAATAGACTTGTTCATGGATTGGGTAGCCCGATGGGCCGGCTCGACCGGGCCTGATCTAAGTCAGGTTTAGATAGGATTTCAGGCTTACAGGCTTGAGCTCGAGCCTAAAATATCGGGCCTGACCTTTTTTAGGCCGAGCTTTGGCTTTCTCAGAAAAGCCCGACCCAAGCTCGAGCCCTACTTAACAATGCATTATATAATAAAAATATATTTTATATAATAAAAGAGCATATATAATATATTTTTTCTTTATTTTTATTATATTTTTTCAAGTAATAATGAGATCATTCATTCTTTTTTAGGTTTTGAGGTCTTTTAATATAAATAAAATAGTTTTTAATTGAGTTAAAAAGTAAAAAAAAAAATATTTTTTTTCTAATTTCTAGTTGGGCTTGGGCTTTATATGAAGGTTGGACTCAGGCCCAAGACCTAGGCCCGACGATCGGGCTCGGGTCTGAGCATATTCTATTAATGTAGAAACAAAGCCCAGCCCAGCCCAGCCCAGCCCATAAACGAGACCAGATTTGCTCCTCACATAGGGCGCCTCATACTCACGTCCTACCATGCATTGGGAACATCTTCCATACTTGTAATGTCTTCTAATACTAATGCAAAAAAAAGGTCAAAGATCTTTAATGCATATTTATTTCAGAAATTCAGAATTCATGTTAAGAAAATCACTGAAATAGATCCTTACCTGATTTCTTACAGTTAATATAAGGCTTTTCCGGAGTTCTTCACTGTAAGGAACACCCTCAACTAGTGTAACAAATGCATAAATCCCCTGTCCTTTGACCTAGGAGCAAGCAGAGCATAACATGTGATTACAATATAGGTTTGGAGACATTCCTCAATGGAAGTATCTACTACAGGTATTCTGTGACTTTTTAGGTATACAAGATGGGGTACCTCATGCTCAACACCAACCACAGCAGCTTCAGCACATTGAGGGTGCGAAACTAAAGCAGATTCCACTTCTGCAGTGCCAATACGGTGTCCACTGCATACATTAACAGAAATTAAAGAAAAACCCACATAGCGCATTATACATTTAAGCCACACCTTGGTCATAGAATTGTAATTTTGTGTTTACTCATGCTCCATGTATGCATTCCCTGTATATGCTCATTTAAAAATGACAAGCTATGCAAAACAATGAATTCCAGAAGGTACCTGACATTGATAACATCATCAACTCTTCCAGTAAGCCAATGGTATCCATCCTTGTCCCTAAATCATAAAAAATAGATACAGTAAAAACACATCCGTACATGAAAATGGCCATTTAGCTTTTAAAGGATGCAGTATGAGAATGCAGCCTTAATGCATTTGGGAGCTCAAGATACAGACAAGTAACTCACAGATCTGTGGCAGAACAGTTAGAAAAAGGAGTGGCCTTAATGCATTTGGGAGCTCCAATGCTAGTTAGACTCTAGCCTAGAACCTCAAACAATAGTGTCTTTCTTTCTTGAATTCAACTCAGTTATTTTGACAAATTTGCATTCCTAGACATTTTCCATATTTACACAAACCATTAATTTCCCCAGCACCAATTTTTAGTTTCCCACTTAAACCACAACTGTTCTACACATGTAGACTTAAATGTGTGCACTAAAATTTTTTTTGATGAATTGCATGCACTAAAAATTCTGCCCTGACTATTTAACATAATATACTGAATCCTTTCTGTAACCAAGAAATCTTAAACATCCTGTTACCATGAAAACACTAACAACCTGCATCACAGGTTGACTGATGAAAACTGAAATTCCAGCAATAATATTACCTGCTACAGCCATCACCACTGAAATAATAGCCTGGAAATGGCTTAAAGTATGTAGTTTCATATCTTTCATGATCACCATAAAGGGTACGAAATGCCCCAGGCCATGAGCTCTTCACGCATAGATAACCACTGCACTCGCCTTCAATCTCAGTTCCCTTCTCGTCAACTATGACTGGCTATATGTTCACCCAAACCGTAACAATTGAGATGAAAAATGAAAGCTGTACAAGTGTACACTCACAAAAGAAAGGAAAAAAAAAAGTGCAGGTGTATCAGTTTTACATGCACGAACCTGGATACCAAAGAAAGGGAAAGTGGCTGAACCAGGCTTCTGTGGCCAGGCCCCTGGTAAGGGAGCAATCTGCAATATATTAAGCAACACCAAATTAGACTATGGTAAAATATTAACAAAAATTATATTGTGTTTTATTTTTCTTCTTTAGAATATGAAATAACAGTACTATATCAAATTGTGGTTATGCTATTGTAAACCATATTTATGATTAGGGATGTTTACCATAGGGCATCAGCAAAACCAAAGAAATGAAGCAGATACAAAATTACCATGAAGCCACCAGTCTCAGTTTGCCACCAGGTGTCTGATATTGGGCATCTTGAATCTCCAACAACATTGAAAAACCACCTAAAAAATGAATTTTTTAAGATCCTTCCAAAATAAAAGACTTTAGACCATACAGAGCAGAGAAAACTTGAAACCTCCATGCACTTGGATTGATGGGCTCTCCAACACTTCCAAGAACCCGTAAGGATTTGCGAGAGTAACGAGTCACATACTGCACAGAAAGCAATATACTGAACCAATAAGCCATGATTCGTTATAGCATCATATGAATTAGTTGGTTGTACAACTTTGATAATCCACCCAAACCCGTGTTGGTCTCGTAACCCAAGCTGCCGGAGCTGTAGAACCCCTAAGCCCTAACCCTAACCCTAACCCAATGACATTGTCATTGAGTTACATTACGTTGGGCTTAAGTTGCCTCAATTTTTTTCTCTTTCTCTTTGCTTTACAAAAATGTTTTTATTTCTTGAGATCAAGATTAACCAATTAAAGTAGAACAATTATGGTGCTTTAAGAGTACTACACTTATGGTATTGTATTAAAAATTTTTTGCCTTCAAACTTAAAATTATATAATGGGGTCGTTATTGGTGTGTTTATTATATATAGGGTAAGCGTGAGAACATGGGTTCGAGTTTGAAACTTGAAACTTGAAAGCATCCACTCTGCTATCATATTCGGGGTCATAGTTTTATCGCCTCTGGGCCTCTTGGGGTCGTAGACATTAGGCAAACAAATTAACAAAGAGGTGGGTTTGGGCCAAGATCAAATGCAGTTTGGGTAAGAAAGGGCCAACCCGCAGTTCATTAGGGTTTCATGCATTTTTGGTTGAGCTATAAATAAAAATTAGAATTTTAGCTCTCGGAGACTGTGAGTCGGGATCCATTTTCTGGGAAAGGAATTTGATCGAAGAAGGAAAAGATGCCAGCGGGACACGGACTCCGGTCGAGAACGAGGGATCTGTTTTCGCGGCCTTTCAGGAAGAAGGGTTACATCCCTCTGTCAACATACCTCCGGACCTACAGGATCGGGGACTACGTCGGTATCAAGGTTAACGGCGCAGTTCACAAGGGCATGCCTCACAAGTTCTATCACGGCCGCACTGGTAGGGTCTGGAACGTTACCAAGCGCGCCATCGGCGTCGAAGTCAATAAACAGGCATTTACCCTATTATACCCCTCTCTCTCTCTCTCTCTCTAGTTGTTGTTTGACCTGAACACTGGTTTTGTTGTCTGGGTTTGACGTGAAAGACATTGTTCCTCTTTGGTTTTCTTTTAATCCAATCTGGTTATCGAGAAGTCACACAGATGCATATTGCTGTTCGAAATTACTACTGAATGCAGTTACATTGTGTATGTTGTTTTGATATCTTTCATCCGTCCTTTCATCACTCAACACAAATGTTTCAAACTAGCTGTTAAAAAAACTCTAAAATTAGATGTGTATTACGAAATCTCGAATGAATGGGACGCAAGTTTACTGCCTGCCTCAAAGAAAATGCCCATAATTTAATTATGTTAATGCTGAATCAGAACAGTATTCCTGTTCTTTACCCCCCCCCTCCCAAAAAAAAAAAAAAAATGGTGATCCCTTATAGTTGGGACAGGGCTTAATTGAGTTAAGAACTTAAGATCCGAAAAAAAACATGTAGTTGGGTAATATTGTTGCTGGATGCTGCATTTGGCATTTTTAAGGACTTGTCTCCTTTTTGCAGTTAAAAACCCATTGGTCACAGGGGTATTTAACTGCAAAGCAGGAGACAAGTCCTTAAAATAAGAAATGCCAAATGCAGCATAATTCTATACAATCTTGACCTTTCTACCTTAGTTTTCCAGTTTTCTTGTAATTAGTAGGTGCCTCGTAATTAAAACTTAATACTAAACTCGACAAAGCTTCAATCCCAACTATTTTGGGTTACCTACACGATTCTTGCCTCACCATTGCACTCTATTGAGCGCCATGTTTTCTATTAAAATTGTAAAGCAATTTGACCAATCAATTTCCTTTAGAGTTGTCTTGGCTTGTTATATTTATTTGCAGGTTCTTAGTTTTATAAAATTAGGTTAAACCAGAGTAGCAGAACTTGGTTATGTGACATAGTCTGCTATGCTTAGATCTTTAATTCATCATGTGGACCAGGGCCAGGTGAAGGAGGATTGTGGTTTTTGGGTTTAATTTTGGTTCCTTGTTAAGTCAATGATATGAGGTGATTCTGGTGAAAAGCTTATATTTGAGTTTTATTAGTTAAAAATTTTATTCATGGTTCTCATTAATTTGCAACAGTTCCTAGTGTTTTTGCTCTTTCTTTTATCAGTCTGTTAAAAAAACAAAACGAAATGGTGTCTCTTTATATTTTTTTCCAATTGACAGTGTTATGGGGTGGTGTCATCTAGGTTGGAAACAGGATTATTAGGAAGAGGATCCATGTGAGAGTGGAGCATGTGCAGCCATCAAGGTGCAGGGAAGAGTTCGAACTAAGAAGGATCCGCAATGATGAGTTGAAGGCAGAGGCGAAGGCTCGTGGGGAGAAAATCAGTACCAAGAGGCAACCTGAAGGCCCAAAGCCCGGTTTTATGGTGGAGGGTGCCACTCTAGAAACTGTTACTCCTATTCCCTATGATGTTGTCAATGACCTTAAAGGCGGTTACTAATTCTTTGAAGGTTGAGGCTTCTTTTTTCATCTTAGCCAATGCACTTTCTGAGTGAATTAGATCCTTTTGTAGGTTGGACATTTGCAGATTGATAGTTCTATTGTAAGGAACTGGCTTATTGATGCTCTTCTTTTCTTTCGCTTTCTCATTTAACATTAGATCACAAATATTGTTGGTTTTTCATGTTTTTAATCTAATGGTAATGGAGCTGCTTTTACAAGACACCGTGATCTCCTCCCAATAGAAAAATGTTTGCGATACATTCCTAACATCATCTATGCCCTCCTGCACACCTCATCTCAAACATGTAGAAGAGACATTTTTTCTTGGAACTACATGTAGACCAGTCACTAGACAATGCATGTTACTATTGTGGAAGTTTTGGTTTACACATGGGGATATGGAGATGATTCTGCTTCACTCTAATGTTTCAGCAATTTAGCATCCGTAGGGAAGAAAATAGTTGTGGATAAAACTTATTAAAACTTGTGACCATCAGGTCCTCTGTATTCAACTTCTACCCAACTACCCCACTATTTTGAAATGGCTTTCTTGAGATCAAATGATAGCCTTTTTATTGATCCTCATTTTTGTTTAGGTGGACTCTATCAAAGGTGAACCTTTTTTTCTCGTCAAAGATGAAATAGTTTCAGAGAAAAATAAAGCAAAGAAACTTTTTTTTTTTATTCTTGACTGATAAAATATTGAAGTAACAAGTTGGGTTTGTGCTAGACTCGGAAATAGGAAAAAAATAGTGCAAACAGTTTGTGTGTTATTGGCAGAAGATCCTAATTTGGATAATGAGCTCAACCTATGTCATTTTGAAAAGGGAAAATTCCCCATTAGTACTCTGTACTTTGAGCCTAGTGTCACTTTGGTCCTTGAACTTTAAAATGCAACAATTTAGTACTCAAACTTTCAAAATGTATTAATTCAGTACTTACCATTAACCAGCCATTAAGTAACATTTGAAAAAGACACAAATGCCCTTCAAGTGTCATCTAATTTTCTTATTAACCATCCAAATTTTGACAAAAAGTTAATAACCCCAAATTCTTTCTTCTATTCAAGAAAGTTGAAGTTGCGTCTCAGTGGTCATTCTGGACCCCAACTTTTTTTGAATAAAAGAGGCAAGGGTTTAGGACTTAATTTCTTTTTATCAATGTTTAGATAGTTGATAATGAAAATTAGATGACACTCAAAGGGCATTTTAACAGCTGATTAATGGTAGGAACTGGATTGACATGCTTTGAAAGTTTGGATAATGAATTGTTGCATTTTAAAATTCAGGGACCAAAATGACATTAGACCAAAGTACAAGGTACTAATAAGAATTTTTCCCTTTTGAAAACACCTAGACTACCCGTGTTTGAAATAAAGTACCTCAATCCTATATCCAACCCAAAATGACGTTCAACCTGATGAGACCTTAAAATATATAATCCCAATAGGACCCTAATAATCTGATTTGATGGGTGATTGTTTTAACCTGAATTTCATGACAAAATCTCAATATTGTTTTTATGAAAAGACTTTTTCATATTTAATTAAAACTAAAATTATATGACCGGAATCCTAGACAAGATTTTGAGGGAAATTTATTTTGAAAAGGTCAAAGCATTTAATGATCAGGTACATATGCTTTGAGCGTAACAACTTCGCAATCTGGTTTGAGCTCGTTTGCTTTCTGCAAGTGTGTGAATAGCTGCACAAGAGAAGAAAGGAGTGAAACTCCTGCAATCAGCAACAGTACTGGCAATGCACAAAAGGAAATTGGAGATTCTACCAACAGGATATTGATAAGAGATAGGCAATCATTCTCCACCCGAATTTGGTAGGGCTTCGGAAGAGGTAGAGGGAAATAATGAAATAATGGAATGGCATGAATCTTTTTTTTTTTTCCGTTGAGTCAAATTTAGGCTGCGTTTCTAAAAGATGCAAATGGAGTGTAAATCCCGGTTCAGGTTAAATTTGCATGTTCATTTTTGCTTCTATTTGGTAATATTACATTTTTGCATTGATAAATAACAGATTAATGCATATTTACATTGATAATAAGATGTAAAATTATATCAATAAAAAAGAAGGAAATTTGCATTTAAATGGTCTTTTGATAAAAAAAAGCATATGCTTTTATTGGAATTTGTGTTTTCATCCATTACAGCTAAAAGTCTATTTGGTAAGAAGGTAAATTTGTTAATGCAAAACTAACCCAACTTTACAATTTATATGAACCGTTTTACACTCTACATATTTGCATCGTTTCCAAACACAGCCTTAGGGATGGAAATTTTCCATGTGTCCCTGCTGGATATTCAACTTTCTGATCCCATTGGGTCGGGGATGGAGATTGCATTAATGGGGACGGGACAGGGACAGTGATGAAGAGTGAATTCTCCGCCTCACCCCAACCCTGATTAGAAACTCAAATATATTCGAAACATTTTTAATTTAAAAATTTCGAGGATTCAAGTTCCATTGCTAGCTGAAAATGGGAACAATGGAAATTGATTCTGATCCAGGTTCTCAATGCTTATTGTTAGGGCAACATTTAAAGTAGCTATAAATGCCATTGCCGGGACAAAATTTACTAAAGAACACTATACTGTTTAGCCTCATTTGTAGTTATGATAGCTCCCCTTAAATCTATATCTATACTAAAGTATGAAGTAGAATGTGTAACTTTTCTTAACTAAAATACCCCTATCCTTGAATTTGGTCCCTTTCTAATTGTAGAGGCACAAAATGTAATTTGAACTACTACTTTTTACCTAGTTCGGTTCTCTTTCATTGAATCTTTAGGTTGTGTTTGGTTGCAATGTTAATAAATTTGCCCTAATGCAAAACCATGGCAGTGCAAATGATTTGAGTGTAAATTCTGACTCATTTTTGTTTCAAATTTTAGGTTATTTTGTTTGATTGCAGTACAAATGAAGTAAATTAAGACATGAAGTAGAATAAAGTAAAATCCAAAACAAAATTAAACAAGAATGTGCATTTTTTACATTTGTACTAATGCAAATGAATTTGCACTGCAACCAAACACAACCTTAAGGTACTAAATCCTATTCTCTCATTAGATCTTACATTTAGGCTGTGTTTGGTTTGAAGAAAAAAGTAGGGAAACCTTTACAAACCTTGTATAAGGTTCCCCGCCTTTCCCTACCTTTTCTTTTCATTATAATTATATTATCACATGCATTTTTGTATAAATTATAGTTCAACACTATAATTACATAGTGATTTTTTTTTTCACCACTGGAGGAAAAAGAAAAAAGAAAAATTGTTTAGCAACCTTGGTTCTTGATCTCTCATTGTCATCTGTATTTTTCTTTATTTTTTCAGTTTTACCTCTTGTTCATTCTCCATTGTAAAAAGGCTCACCTTGGAATGTGCATTCATATATGTTGTGATTCTTGTGCAAATCTTTTAGGCATTTTCTATATATTGGGAGGCAGTTGCAATTCTTCCCCACTTAGTGTTGCTACAGAGAAGTGGGAACGTGCACAGCTTAACGGGACAATATGTTTTCTTTCTTGGGTATATTGCATTTGACCTTTCTTTAGTTGCTTGACCTCTGTTTTTAAGTGAATAATATCGTAGTAGCCACTGCGTATTGGGTAGTGTTGCAATTTGATTCAAATGTTACCATGGAATTTAATCAAATGTTTTATCACAGTTGTTTGGTTATTGAGTTGTTTCACATGGCATAAGTCCAATTCATATTTTGTTAATTGCGATAATTAGCCCTGTAAGCAGGGTTCCTATCTTATTAATTTGATTTCCGAAATAATTTCATGTAAAAAATCAGTTCCCCTGTGTTAGCTAATCTGATGCAATTGATCATTGCGAAGATGCCACAATACTTGCATAGTTTTAGTTTGTGTAAATGTAAATCTAACAAAGGTCAAGTATGTACTTTTCCCTGTGATTTTGTATTGGCTTTACTACAGCATTCGAGCAGGTAAAAAATCCAAGTAGGGACAGAAGATAATTGTCTTTGGAAGATGGATAAGAATATGATCATTTTATTGAATTCTTGTTTGGACAAAATATTAACAATCAATCATTTCATCTCTAGGGGTAGATTGATGGAGAACTTTTTATTGGACAAGTAATGAGGAATTTTATTAATTCAGAGATTCAAAATTGATACAAGAATTTTTGAACCAGCAAACAGTGATGTGGGATCATCTATTCCAGCTCCATTGTCTTGCGATTAAAACTTTATATCTGAAATCCTAAGTAGATGAGGCATTTCATTTTGAAAATGTTTCTTTTTGATTTTTTAGAATTAGAAGCTAGAATCGGCAGAGGAACACTATAAACCTGGAATCAAATTTGAGAATTATTTCTTCTATTTTGATGAAAAAAAATCTAAAGCATTGGTTAAATAGATCAACCCTCTGTTAACAGGCATTGCTGTTGTTGGTTTTGCTTTTGTCGGATCTCCTTCTCATTGTTCATTGGCTGTCTTGGCCGGCATTGCAGCGGGAGCATAGTTAACACGATGGAACACGGTGGGCAAGCAAGAATGGTATTTGAGATGTACAGGAATTGTACAGGGGTTTTTCAAACTGTAGTCTCTTTCTCATAATAGTTGTATAGATTAAATTGAAGTACAAAGGACTGCTGTAAGATGGATGGTATGAATTGATCATGTCATCAAATGCACATGGTTTGTGTAAAAGTGTTGAGAGCTTGCAATTATAGTTATGGATAGGAGCCCCATTCAGAATTCAGGGAGACCTAAAATATGTAATCAAATTTTTAGTCTGCACGGCTAGTATGTCATAAACAATTGATGTTCTTTTTCTTAGGCAATTTCTTAGTGCCTGTTTGGCAAGTGTTTTGTAGAAGATCTGTTAGTTAAAAGACAGGGTTAGCTTTTGCAAATAGATCTTGGAAGACTAAAGACTGTTTGGTTGAAATATCTTTTATTGATCTCATCATAAAAGTTAGAAGACCGTTTGGTAATGTAAAGAAATATGTATTATATATATATGAATGTCTTGTGTATTGGTCAACAAACCTTTCATTTAACACATGGGACTCGCGTACATTTTTTAAGGTGAGCCCCATATATCATTGGTGGACATGTATGTGGTGCCCATATACATTTTACAAGGTGGGCCCGACATACCATTAGTGGACATGCATGTGGGGTCCACGTGTGCACATGTATATGGGGCCCACATACATTTTTCAAGATGGGTCTCACA